TATCCACATTTGCCCAAAAATTTGTATTTAATAATGTTGATAATACTTCTGTTAGTTATAATAACAACGGGGAAAACAACTTACATGTCCAACAAGAGGAGACTGATTAAGTTAATTATGGCACATCCGCACTTTAGAATTTTTGGAAGTAGTTGAGAGTTAAGTGGATCTATATGTGCTCTCACAGAAAGATCCTGCATTCATTTTATTAGGGAGAAGGGCAAGAGGCAAAACAATATGTACAACATTATCCAAGTATATTTAAAAAACCTTCAAATTGTATTTTTCTAGTACATCCATGTAAGAAAAAGCCCAGACTATATTTTAAAATAATATATACAACATTTTTAAATTGTGGTTACTTCTAAGGAGTGCTGAATTTTGGAGGATGAAATAAGGAATGGAATTTTTTATTTATCCATATTTTTTGAATTTCTTTAGCATCAGGAATATGTGCACTATTTCTTTTGTAATTAGTATATTTAAGAAAGGCTAACAATAGAAAAAGTAGATGTGTGTTATTCAGATGAAGTAATTGCTAGCTAATGTAATGGAAGAAACCAGAAATTTCAATGACTTAGCACTACAAAAATTTATTTCTCATGCACATAAAATCTGACAGGGGTAGGCAATATCTCTGCTGTCAAGTGATCCCAGATCTGGGCTGCTACTATCATATGATTCCACATCTCAACACAGGCTCTGTGTGTTTGCTGGTCATTGAACAGAAAGCATAGCAGTGGCGTACTGACTTTCAAACACCTTGGTCTGCAGATGACAAACATTGTTTCTGTTCATATGTCAGTGGCAAGGGTAGGCACAAAACCTTTTCTGATACAAGTGCATTTGCCAATATCGTATGTCCCATGCACCCAGGAAGGAGAGCAAGACGCGATGTGGAAGAGCACTTAGAGTCTCTCTATAAACAGCTACGCAGTAGGTCATCAGTAGAGTGCAACACTTAGAATTTATATGACAAAAGCCCTCTTTGTCCTTGAAGAAGTTTCTGAGAAGGCCAAACTGCCTTGCAACACTTCAAATCTTTCTAAGGGCCTACTGTGTGACAGGTGTTCAAATACAGGATCACGCTATTTATCTAAAGGACACTGGAAATCTCAGCAGGGAGGCATCATCCTTCTTCACTCTATAGCACCTTCCTATACTGACTGACCATTTCAATAACCTCCATAGTCTCAATAGACTGAGAATTTTCTTCTTCCTTTTGCTGCATAGCTAAAAACCACAACTTTTTGAGTTTCTGATGCATACCACTTGACGATGAACATGACTGAACACTTGTACAGGTGTCTTTGGGCACACTGAAAACCAGGAGTTTTCCCTGCAGCAGATACAGACAAGAGTCAGGAAAATGATAGCCAGTTAGTTTTTCTTTTCTTATCAAAGCTGGCAGGTCTGGCAGGGAGGCATTTTCTACCTTGGTGGTAGACTGAATAATTGCTCCACAAAGATACCTGTAGCCTATCCCTGAAACCTGTGAATTTGTTATGCTACACTTTGCAGAGGTACTAAGGTTATGAAAATGACTAATAAAAAAGGGGTGAGAAGGATGCAGTGTTTTATTGCTGATTCAAAGTAGATGGGCTCAGGACTGGAGAGGGGCCTGGAGAAACTAATGTCAGCTCCAGCTGACAGCAAAAAAACATGGCCTCAATAGTATTACCACAAAGAACTGGACGTGCCAACAACCTGGATGATCTTGGAAAGAGATACTTCCCAGAACTCATGATGAGAGACCTGCCAGCTGAATGCTTGACATGAGTCTTGTGAAACCCAGAAGAGAGAATTCAACAGAAGCAACTTGGATTTCTCACGTACGGACATGCGAGATAATAAATGTGTGTTGTTGTAATCTGCTAAATGTGTGGTAATTTGTTATGGTGGTTATGGGATAAGTACAATCTCTTGGAAGGACTATAGGGTCTGTTAGAATTCAGCCTGTGCTTATGGTTGCTACACAGTGATTTCCTGGCCTTCCTCACCTACCATGTAGGAGGGAGGCTTTGGTTCTTCACTTAGTTAAGCTCACTCATCAGTTTAAGGATTCAGTGGCCAGTCTCAGATAAGTCACCAGATTTCTCATGCACTTTCTAAAATCTCTTCTCTAATTTCAGGGCTGTCTTTCAAGAATCAGTAGATCCTATGCCAAATAAGATTTTGCTCAGAAGCCAATTTGGAAAAATACTTTGAGAGATGATAGCATTGCCCAGATCAGATGAGCAAACATCTAAACGTCACTGCCAAAGTAGACAATCACATAGAACAGATTGTTGTTACCAAGGGGTTCCGTGGTCAGGGATGGGACAGACAGGAGGCGTCTGCAGTGAATCAGAATGCTCTAAGTTAGGGTAAAGAAAGGTGATTCTGGGCTTTTTTTTCCACTGGGAGCAGAGTGCAGTCTTATCAAAGGAAGCAGGGGAGAACTGCACTGCAGGTCAGGATCCAGATTTGGACACCAGGACACACTGGGGAAAACGCAGGGCAATAGTGAAGTAACTGGGAAAGTGCCCGGTCTGGTCCCACGTACTAGCACTGGGCAGAGTCAGCTTTCAAAGAACCTTGTGGGGGCACCTGGGTGGCTCAGTTGGTTAAGTATCCAACTCTTGATTTCGGCTCAGGTCATAATCTCAGGGTTGTGAGATGGAGCCCCGCATCAGGCTCCATGCTGGAGGTGAAGCTGCTTAAGTCTCTCTCTCTCTCTCTTTCCTTCTTTCCCTCTCTAAAACAAACAAACAGCAACAACAAAACAAAAAACCCAAAAACAACAAAAAATAAACTATGGTTAGGGGCAGGTGTACTTCAGGCAAATGCAACCCATAGAGCATCCCCACCTGATGTTTAATTTTCATTTTGCCTTAATAATACACCTGAATTTAGTGAATTGGCTTCAGCTTCCTTCTTTTTACTTCCTGAGAGACATTGAGGAAAAGTGAGCAGAGAAATGAATTAAGAGATACCAAATCAGCCTCAGGCAGGGAGGAGTGGAACAGTGTGTGTTCTAGACTAATTCAGACCAGGGCTCTAGTCCCAGCACTGTCACTTATAAGCCAGGTGAACTCATGAAAATTGCAGTTATGTAAGCCTCAGGTTCTTTATGTATGAAGTGGGTTTGATAAGTAGTCCTCTTGTTCTTGGCTTACATATATATTATACATACAAATGGTAAAATATCTGGCTTAAGGAAGACACTGGCACACTGTCTGGCATGTATTAGATTTGTATAAATGCCAGTTATTACCACTACTATTATTGTCACCCTAAAACCTACTATCCTCCATATATATATATATATATATATTATTCCAGGGAATGTCAGTGAATTTATAGCACTCTAGGACCTGGTGCAAGAAATCAGCCAATATGATGCTCAGCAAGTTAAACTAAGTTACTTGCTATTTAACTTTTTTGAAAATATGTTATTTATTATGGGTGTGGGGAATCTTCCTCACTTTGATGCTCAGAACTCCTGAAATTTGTTTTAAAGTCTATTTCTGGGATCCCTGGGTGGCTCAGAAGCTTGGCGCCTGTCTTCGGCCCGGGGCATGATCCTAGAGACCCGGGATCGAGTCCCACGTCGGGCTCCCTGCATGGAGCCTGCTTCTCCCTCTGCCTGTGTCTCTGCCTCTCTCTGTGTGTCTCTCATGAATAAGTAAATAAAATCTTTTTTAAAAAATAAAGTCTATTTCTATCTCTGCCTTCCACCTGCCCTTCCATCCAAAACACTTGTATTTGCAATTATTTCACCTCCATCACAAATATAGTAGCTTAGATTTTACCAAATTACATTCCAGATAATCTAATTAAAATGCCTTTTTAATGGATGGACTATGCCTCTCTCATCCCAGGGCAAAGATCACCAGCACAGTAACCTATGAGCATCTTACTTCCTGCGAGTATCACAGCCACTCTTTCAGTATGACATGCACACATCGCATATTTTGCTTATACTATTTTTCTGTGCTAGGACAAAAGCACAGGACCTCTTCTATTTCCTGCCCCAGGTGATGATTTCTCTTTGGTTTATCTATGATCTTTAAGTACTAAAAGCACTTTTCTATTTCAGGCTTCTCCATCTGAGACACATAATCTGAGGTTTTGGCCCCTACTCACCACTCAAACAAACTCATCTGACCCACCATGCAGCTTAATTAAAATTACCTCACCCTGAAGGACTTGCAGTTTCCCAAGGTCTCAAACCCCCTTGCCACAGGGCCTTTACACCTGACAGCTCACACCTAAAACCTCTCTATGTGTTCATGCCACCTTTTGATTTGTCCTTGTCATAGAGTGTATCCCACAATATTCCTTACATTGTAGCTTCTCTCTAAGACTTTAAAATTCTATGAGCAGGGGTAGTTCTTGTTCATCTTAGCCTTCCCAGTACTAGCATAGAGCTTTGCAAAGAGTCGATGCTCAATTGTTGGAGAAAAAAATGAGCCACTGAGAAACAGGTAGAATTTATTATAATATAATTATTTCCCCTACATTCTTGAATAAACTAAGTATATCCAGGTGTGTGTATTATGATATATATATCATATATATGTGTCAAAACACACTAAAAGTGATCAATGAAACCAAGAGTTTATCATCTTTTATCTATTTCTCCATTTCTTGATCCCAATTCTTACACTACTGAGTTTTTTCATACTTCCAAGGAAGTGCCTCATCTACTGCCATATTATCTTGTTCCAAATTACTTAGTAATACTTAATAATGTTTTCCAATTTTACAAAACAATACAACTCTTACTTTTAAGTCTCATTCACAGAAATAAATGAGCAATATCATTCATAAATTTGGGTTATGAAGCTACCTAAATTTTCTATTAAGAGTAACAATGTTTAAAAAAATTATCCAGGTTACCACATAGAACGGAAACACAAATATCATTATATAGTGTGTTTTCTCTAGCCCCACCCTGGTCTTCGACTCCTTAAAATATAGACTTCTCTTTTTAACAACAAAGTAAAAAGTCGGGTTCAGACTTTATTAGGGGTGGGAGGAATTGTCTGTGTGGCCTTGGAGCGCACACTGGCTATGGCCCTGGAATGCACATTGGTCATGGCCCTGGAGTGCTCATTGGTTATGCCCTTAGAATGTGCACTGGTCATGGCCCTGGCACGTGCACTGGCCATGGCTGCAGTGTGAGCCCTGGCTGCAGCTCTAGCTTGTGCTCTTTCTTCCTCATCTTGCAAAGCTTCTTCATACCAAGCTGGGAAGGCACTAGGGATGGTATAATGAACCTTGGCTAAAAACTCCAGGACTTTCATCTTGCTGGTTTCGGCATAGGCTCTGGGGCCCCACAGGAACTCATAGCGTGGAGGATCACTATTGGCCACCTGCCTGTACTCCAGGTACTCTTCTTTCACCAAATCCTCGGTGATGAGCTTCCTGGGCTCCCCAAAAATGAAGTGCTCCATCCCCTCATATAACCCAATCACATTCAATACTTGCCAGACTTGCTCCTCAGCGGCACAGTTGCCCTTTGTGAAGATCACACCCAGAATAGTCATCAACAGGCCAGTCTTGGGAACCCCTCCATCATCACTCAGCATTGCATCATAACTTAGTTCCAATTTGTTCACAAGGACATAGATGTGCCGGTTGGGATCCACTTCCTTCAAGTCAAGGCCAAAAACCAGCTCCAAGTGCTCAGAGGCTCTCTTGAGGATCTCATGAAAGTGATTCCTATACATTTGAATTACATTTCTCAGCATTCCTGCCTTACTAATGAGCTCTTTCATTTGATACTTGTACAGCAGGTAATGCACCAATTTAACTACCTTCTCATCTAGCGGGCCTCTGGGGAATGGCTCAGCGGTGGGCTGAGCCTGGGAGGATCTTGGTCTTTCCTCCACTTGGTTGTCAGCACTTTCATTTGATCTTGTGTGTGAAACAGATGCAGCAGTAGTGCTGGTGGGTATGGCTCCCTGAGGACCCTGGGAAACGCTATATGACCCAGCAGCAGGTGAGCTCTTGAAACAAAGAGAGGAAGGGGAGTGGAAAACTTCTCCCACTGCTGCAGTGGCCTGAGCACCCACCAGATCCTGCAGCTCTTCTCTAGCCTGGCGGCGCTTCTCACAGGCACGGAGCTTACTCTTCTGACCCCGCGGCATGATGACTTTTGACAAGGGCAGCAGGCAGATGGGCAGACAGATGATTCAGTAACTTGAAAGAGAGAGGAGAAGACCATTTGGCCACTTTAGCAGAGAAATACAACTTTGGCTTTACTGAAGGCCAACTCTCCAGATTTCCTTGAGGACACTGCTCTAGGAACCCACAAGGCTCCTATTCTCTGATTGCCTCTGCCCTAAGGATCCTGTGGAAGTAACTAGGGTGTGCCTTATCTCCTGCCTACAGATCCACCTGGGGCTCACTGCGCTTAGAGCAGTTGCTCGGAGTCAGGGGAGCATTTCATTTCACATTAAGGATCGTCACTTTTGGCAGGACCCAAAGTCCCTATTCTCTACTTTTCTGATGCTGACCCCTCATTTCAAAGCCCTCATCACTCTGAAACCTCAGAGGAGGAACTGAGGGGAACTTCATCTTACCAGACCTGTCCAGGAACGCACAGGGAAGAAAGTATAGGCAGAGCTCTGTGTGACCCTTTCCATTCTAGGGTAATTAGAGGTCTCAATCCTCCCTCAGTGCTCTCACTTTCAGTTTTGATAGGGCTGGGGACTCCTCCCTCTGCTGACCTAAGACCCTCAGGGCAAAGCCCCAAAATCCATGAAAGTCCTGAGGTCTCAGTCTAACATATCTGCTCCAGGTACTCTTGAGGCATGGATAGGATTCTCTGGGACCTTCACTGTTATGAAGTGGGTGATCTCAGGGCCCACTCAGGATCCTTACATTGACTACTGGAAAACCCTGGGTTCCATCCTTTTAATGACAATGAGGCTGCTGTCTCAGGCGAGACTTCATCTTCCTGTGACTTCCCTGAAGATAATGTGAGGGACTGCCTCAGCCACACATCCTTACCCAATGCCTCCCAGGGCTGACAACAGTGGGGGGCCTTTGTGAGGCACCCTTTGTTGGGAGTGAATGTTTCCCTGAGACCTCATTCAGTGTCCTCACTATACGGTGGCAAGGCCTGGGAGCACCTCCGTCCCCTAACAACCATCCTCCTCCCATTGTCAAGTATTCACTGCCCCTGAGACATCAGATACAGAACTCAGGATGCCTTACATTAATCCAACTTAACCTGCAGCCTCTGAGACAGAAAGTATGGGCGGGGCTCTGCAAGGCCCCCTATGTGCTGGAGTAGGGTGCCCTCAGACATCACTCAAGAGTCCTCACCTTTACTCCCTTTGCCGCCTACAACCAGTCCCTCTGCTGGTCTGAAGTTAACACCCTGTTCCAATGACTTCATCCCCTCCTTCCCCTCAGGGAACTTTAGAAGGTAGTCTGACCTCCATATGTCAGACATTTCCTGTCTAGGTTCTATCGGGAATGATAGCCAGGGTAGAACTGACTGGAAACTCCTCTAATCTGGATTAGATGGTCCTCTCACACCTAACTCATTTTTTTTAAGATTTTATTTATTTATTCATGATAGAGAGAAAGAGAGGGAGAGAGAGAGAGAGAGGCAGAGGGAGAAGCAGACTCCATGCGGGGAGCCTGATGCGGGACTTGATCCCAGGACTCCAGGATCACGTCCCGGGCCAAAGGCAGGCGCCAAACAGCTGAGCCACCCAGGGATCCCCATAACTCTGGATTTTTACCTTAATTCCAGGCATGGCCTGGAGCTCCTCCCTTGACTTTCCTGATGCTGCCCCACTAATGCCAAAGCTATTGCTTCCCTCAGACACCGGAGACAGAAGTCAGGGTGCATACCAAGTGGGGCCTCCAAGGACTGACAGTTGTGGTGGGGGGTGCTCTGTGAGGCCCCCTATGTTCTGCAGTGGGTGGTTGCCCCACACCTCAAAGTCCTTGCCTTTCCTCCCATTAGGACCTGGTACCCATTCTTCTGCTGGTCTGAAGCTGACAACCTCACCCCCATTAGTCCCCTTGGGAAATTTAGAAGATTCTCAGAGTTCACTACATCAGATTCCTGCTTGGGTTCTATCATGGCTGATAATAGGGGTGGTACTCTCCAGAACTTCTCCAGTCTGGGATGGATAGTAATATCACACCTAACTCGGGATCTTTACCTTAACTCCAGGCAGAGCCCAGAGATCCTCCCTCAGTTTATGTGATGCCACTTCCCTCAGAGCAATGCCTTCACTTCCCTGAGACCCCAAAGCAGCTGTCAGTGTACCACTTCTGGGCAACTTTGCCTGGGTTCTCCCAGAGCTGACAGAGGGATGGGATTCTGTGGGGTTGACATTGTTCTGTGCATGGGGGATTCCCTTGGAACTGACATAGGGTTTTTAATTTTTTTAATTAATTATTATTACTTCTGGCTGATCCTAGGTATCCTCCCCAGATTAGCCCTAAACCTCCAGTTTCTAGAGGGTGAAGTGAAAGGGTTCCAGAGCCTCATCGCAAGCATACCAGGGCCGCCCAGAGCTGAGAACAGAAAGAGGCCACTGTGGTGCCCATCTGCTGGGGTGGAGAGGTCCCAGAGAAATCAGATGGAGTCCTCACCTTTACTTCTGTTAGTGCCTGGGATTTCATTCTCTGTAGCCCTGAGGGCACATCCAGGTCCAAATGCCCTCAACTTCCTGAGACCCCAGTGGGGAAATTCAGAGGGCACTATTTAGGCAATCCCTGCACAGAGCTTGCTAGCATTAAAAGCAGGGGTGAGCCTCTGTGGGGTCTTCTGTCTTCTGGAGTGGGGATTCTGTCTTAATCAGGGACCTTGTATAAACTCCAAGCAGAGAGTGGATTCTTCTGCTAACCTGACACTGCCCACCTCAGATCAAGGTATTCATTTTCCTAAGACACTAGAGACAGAATTCTGCGGAAGCCATTCCCAGCCACCCACAGCAATAGGGCTCTGTCTGGTGGCACCTTCTATTCTAGGATGGGTGGTTCCCTGTGATTTCATTCAGAGTCCTCAATTTTTCTTCTTTTTCTTCTTTCATTTTTTTATTTAAATTCTAGTTAGTTAACATATAATGTAATATTGGTTTCAGGAGTAGAATTTAGTGTTTCATCACCTACATATAACACTCCGTGCTCATCCCAAGTGCCCTCCTTAATGCCCATTATCCATTTAGCCCACCCCCCACCCACCTCTTTCCATCAACCCTCAGTTCTCTATCATTAAGAGTTTCTTATGGTTGGCCTCCCTCTCTGTTTTTATCTTATTTTACTTTTCCTTCCCTTCCCTTAGGTTCATCTGTTTTGTTTCTTAAAATTGTGCATATAAGTGAAATCATATGGTATTTGTCTTTGAGACAAAAAGATAACATAGCATAATGCACTCTACCTCCATCCACATCGTTGCAAATGGCAAGATTTCATATTTTTAATGGCTGAATAATATTCCATTTTATACATACATAAATATATACATATATACCCACATTTATTTATATATACATATATACACATAGATTATATATATAATATATATATCCCTCACATAATATATATATATATATATATATATATATATATATATATATATATATATATATATCCCCCACATCTTCCTTATCCATTCACCAATTGATGGGTATTTGGACTCTCTTCATAATTTGGCTATTGTTGATAATGCTGCAGTAAACATCAGGGTACATGTACCCCTTTGAATCTGTATTTTTGGCTCCTTTGAGTAAATACCTAGTAGTATACTTGCTGGATCATAGAATATTTCTATTTTCAACTTTTTGAGGAACCTCTGTACACTTTCCTGGAGTCCCACCTTTACTTCTATTAGGGTCTGGGATTCCTCTATCTGCTGAATTCAGTTTGACAGGCTTATCCACTGTCCTCACTTCAAAATTTTAGATTTTACTATATTTACTACAGATCATGTGATGCTTTTTAGAGTGGCTAGCACAGACTCTATTTTGTTACTTTAATCCAATTGGAGTCATTACAACAAAAAAATATAGCTTTGGACTCCACATATATCTGCCACTCTGTCAGTTTAATAAGCAACTACACCAACTACAGTTGTTTTCCATCCACCCTGTAAATGCTTGTATCATAGGCCCACCACCTACTCCAGTCAGTATCTGGTAGCAACATAGACCACCAAATGCAGTCAGAGTACATCTGCCCTCTGGTGTGCAAAGAAGTCAGGAACCATGGGAGGTAATCAGAGCTGGGGATAACACCTGATTGTTTTCAAGACATGTCTACCCTTTATTCCCAGAGTCACTGGGGGTATTAGCCTCAACAAATTCCCCCTCCAGTTTCCCCCTCCTTGCAGCTCCACACCCCCTTCCAGTCCTCATTGGTAATCCTTGCCCTATTTTAAACATTCTGAATCATCAGTCAAGCCCACCTGCTTGCAGAGCCTCAATCTCAGTGGCAGTAGGGCCACATAATAGGGGAAGAAAAAGCCTTCTCCATCAGGCTTTAAGACTACTCATAGCTCTGGTCACTGGCAAGGATGCATGGCATGATTAGAGTAGTGAAGAGATGTAGCTCTCCTAGATTCCATCAGTAACATTACTTGGTGGGTGCCACAGGGGGGGACAGCTATCTATACTCTGACAGTGGTCAGGGGGTATTCTTGGGTGGGGGTCAAGTATCAGGCATGCCTCCGGTCCTTTCATCCAGCAGATCTACCCACTCATATCACTCTACAACTTCAGGCTGGCAGTGATGATTCAGAGATTCCCTAGCCTATCCATGTAAGCTGTCTGGTATCTTGCACCAGATTCTCTAAGTTCTCTCCCTCTGGCACTTGTTCTGTGTTTTGCTGAAGCCTGCATTCAGGTCCCTGACTGCCAGCTGCCCTGGGCTCTCTGGACTTGTTTGGTATGTGATTGCTCTCATGATTCTAGAAATTGCTCTACTTCCTCCACCTCTGGTCCTCTGTTCCTCACTTATTGATGTTTTCCTATCCAGGTCCATTTCCTGGCACCTGGTCATTCTGATGAATTCTAATGTCTTAAAGTAAAGGGGAAGGTCTTATGGACATAGAATTTTAAACTATGCACCCAAAGGAATTCTAGTACTTAAGATATTGCTGCAGAAATTTTGCTTTATGTGG